CGCAGCGGCGAAGCTGCCCGGGCGTGTTGGGGCAGCTTTGCGGACACCTGACGCTGGTGTGACACGTGCACCATGGTTACCGCTCTGCTGCGAGCAGATGGCACGCCGCTCAGCCCTGGAAACCAGCCTGCGAGCGCAGCCAGCTGTTTGGGTTTTTTTTTCTTTTCTTGCAAGTCCGGAAAAGTTTCTGGGGTGGTGGTCGCCTTTCAGGACATCGCTAATAGTTAGAGGAAAAGCGGTATTAAAGAATTCTATGCAATAAGGACCAGCATTCTGGGAAACAGTCGAGAAAATTTCCTCAATGTTACTGATTTGTATTAAATGTTTCACTTCCTTCAACTTTAGTGTCTTACTTAAAATATGAATAGTGATAGAGACAGTCTTGGGCGTGTGTGCAAGTGCGTTTTAATAGACATTATTGCTTAGAACAGTTTTAAATTTACAGAAAAAATGAGAAGATGGGACAGGGTTCCCATACATCCACCTGGCAACCAGTTTCACCTATTTATTAACATTTTACGTTTGTATAATACTTTTGTTAAAATTAATGAACCAATATTGATATATTATTCTTAACCAAAGTCATTACCTTATTCAAGATACCACATTAAATTTAGTCCTCGTGTCTCCTTAGGCTCCTTCCTCTTGGCTGTGACAGTCTTTCTTAATTTTTGGTGACCTTGGGAGTTTTGAAGAGTACCGGTAAGTCATTTAGTAGGATGTCCCGCTATTGGAGTTTGAGACAGCCTTCTTTAAAGCATGTCTACAGATATTTCCCTACAAATCATATACTTTATAGCAGGAATATCTTCCTTACTATCTTTTCTGTACCAGGTGTTCCACTTTCCACCCCTCCCCTCCCTGATACATATATTTTTAAACAAACTGCAGAATTCAGAATGCTCAACCTAGCCGTTCACTTTGTACTCTGTTTAGATTGGTCATAAATACAGCCTAAAAATCACTGACCCCAAGCAATGTCAGATGGAGAATGAGTCCATGATTGTTTCCCACTCATGGCCTTAGCAACAACAACAACAACAACAGATTAATGCCAAAGGGCAGTAATGGCTCCCATTTCAAATGACATCAGATGTCCAGCTGTTCAAAAGGAGGTGCTTAAGCTGTGATTCCCTGTCCCATAGAGTACAGAGGGAATTCATTCTTTATCTTTACAGACACATTTTCATTTTTAGCCCTATGGAGCAAGGTCTGTTTCCTTAAAGAGCATGTAATTTGCATTCTCACTAAAAGAAAGGATAGTACATTTGGTGTACGTGTGCGTGTGTGTTCTTGTGTGTGCATACTGAAGGTAAGTATTATGTTGTAATAAACATTCCAGGGCACAACAAATAGGATGGATTTTCAGCCAGGCTGGGTGTTTCTTGGAACAGTGGGATGATGGAGAGTGTCATGGGTACCCCTTTATGTGGTGCCATTTTTATGCTGCAGGTTTGGGTGTGGTTTTTTGGAGGGACCACAGTGGTTGGGACAGTAAAAATGAGTATTGACCACTGTCCTAGAACTGAGATTCTGGAGAAAATGGGGACAAGCTTCTCTCCTTAATCTCCAGAACCTTACCCAGAAGGGAAGGGATTAACTTGAGGGGTAGAGAGACATAGTTCTAGACTAAGCTTGGCTAGGAACTTGCAGGGTGACCTGGAACAAAAGGTTTGGCTAACCTAAGTTTCAGCTTTCTCTAACAGCTGGCAGTAGGCTGATTTGGAAGACCTCTGAAGAACTGTCAATTCTGTCATTCTAAGTGCTCATTGGATACTGAGGATATCCTCTTAAAACTGTTTGCTCCTGACTTCTAATCACTTAGTTTGGATATGTAAGAATGTTGCTGACTTTTTAATTTGAAAATGAAATAACTTTTAAAATTCCACATTTGGTGAAACTGAACACATCTGTACTCATTACATTACATATGTACATGCATGTATATACATACATACACAAATAATGAGAATAATAAAAAATACCAGGCCAAAGACTGACCTCTGTCACCTTCATCTTTCTAAGCTTAGAATTAAGTGGCTGAATGTAACTTTTTATATCTACCATATAGCATTATTTTAATAGCATTTATTCATGATAATTCTTTGTAGGACTAAATGAAAATATTTTCATTGTGCAATGGAAAGAATAGTTTGGGGTTAGGGACTCCGGGACTAAAAGCTTACATCACCTCACCTATGCAGGGCCTCCCACCTTGGGAAGACTAGAGAAATGGAGTATTGAGCCCAAATTGAGTTATATTAGCCCAGGCATTGACTAAGCAATTGGGAAAATGTTCATGTACAAAGGTTAATGTATTGTCTACAAGGAGTCCTTGTTAAAATGCACATGGTTCCTGGAGAGAGTAATCATTTAACCAACATTACCCATGTAACATGAAGACATCTTTCCTCAGACCATACCTGGGCATGAAAATGGGATTAACCTTTAAGTATAAAACATTGCTTCTCTGTAATACCTTCTATACCATACTGGACTTTCTAGCCTTGTTCAAAGACACCCTTGCCTACCCAGTGAATTCCAGGCGTCCCCAGCTACACATACTCTCAAACAAGTTCTTTTAATTTTCCTTGACACCCAAGGCCTCCATTGCTATATGTTGGTTTCTTTTTGCTCCTAGTGGTGATGTATGACATCAGGTACCTCCGTAGAGCTTGGCTGCCTCCTGTCAACAAAACTTTTGGCCCTGAGAAGGTCAGGGATGCTCTGAAATGCCATTGTGTCCTTCCCTCAAGAGTGCCAGCTACTGCTGCTGCCAGGCCTGGGTCTTTGCTGCCCCTGGGACTGGTGTGTTTGCTGCTAATGGTTCTGTAAGGTGCTGCTACTACAGAGTATGGGAGATGGCCTTGGCCCCCGGCTTGTGCTCCTCCCACCCCCAGCCATATCAGGCCAGCGCCTCTCTGTGCTGAAATAGGGAGTCAGAGAACATTCTCATTCTGTTGGTGGCTATTTTTCACTTCTTATCCCTTTTCCTAAGCATTTGGTCATGGGGCCTGGGCTAGGTAGGGGCCAAGTCTGGGTAGCAGACACTATGTTATACTCATAATTCCTTCCCTCCCCCAATGGCTGAGGCATTGCAATTGGACCAAATTTAGTCCCTTTGGATGGATTA